ACATCATAAACTTCAAACAAAGCAATTTGAGTAATAATCAAAACAAAACTAAGGTGACAAACATTCACTATACTCAAAAGAGTGTTGAAATGCCATGATTCGGAGTTGTCTTCATAAATTTTCTTATTATTTGATAGCCAAACTGCAACTGAGAACAGACCCATAACCTATACTTGTTGTTATCATTTTTACCTAAACAAACACCCAAAACACGTTTCAAATGGATTGCAATTTCTGAAATCATTGATTAGGACTAGTAAAGTAGATACTTGCGCCAGAAATTGCCGTTTTGATAATATTGGGTAAAGGTGGAAACTAGCAAACCGGTGTAGGCCAAAGTGACCATATGGATACAACACAGTTTTTTCATGCTGACAGGTTCCACAAAAACGATTGGCGGGTGATCCTAGAAGTTAGTTTGCCACTAACGACTACAATACTAACCTCTGACAAAGAAAAATCTGTAAAAATAGGACGGATAGTGCGAGTAAAGCGCGCGAAAGATTCACGCCATGTTGTGGTGTATTTTGTTGTCTTCTTCTCTCCTTTTTCTTCTTCCAGGATCGAGCGCGATACATCGATATATCGATTTAGTGACGCGGGATGGTTTAAAACATCAGATTAGAAGTCATCCGAGTCCAACCGATGCATTAACAATGCAGATATTAGCAATAATTCCAGTTGTAACCAAATGGTTACACGGGGTAATACAGGGTTAAAATTATAACTTGTTCTCTGCTGATTTGTAATATATTGATTGATAAGTGACCACCAACAGTGTATTAATTGTTTTGCCTGAATTTTTGCCTAGCACAATTTCTTACGGTGCTATCCCAGTAATTTTGGAAGAATTTTACCAGTCCTGGCCCCAGTCCTGGTCCCAGTCATGCGGACAATTCAAAAACCGTGCGCGGATTCCCGCTTTCAGCGTCTCCAGGCGTGCCAACGACCTGGGAAACGGAAGGTCTTCTCTTTCGCGTAGTTTTGCACGTTTCAAGGGAAAACAATTTGGTTTGAGGTCTGAAAATGGTCAAATGCGCAATTTAACCGCCTTAATTACAATGCTACTTAAGCCAAATTTGTTAGTGTCGGGAGCGCGTATTCATGCAGCGAGTCTGGCAGCCATGCAGTTAGCCGGGCAGTTAGCCGGGGCATGCTCAAACCTGTTAGGCTGTGTTGACTGGTGGACCCGGGTGGACTCTTGACAAGGTGGACTGGTTTTTAGGCCATAAAACTAACTAACTAGTGGTTATTTCATCAAGATAATGGCACATATTGGGTTTGGGCCGCGGCTGGAGAGGCCGGCCAAGTGCAATTATTCTCACGAAACATGCTCACACTCGAAAGGGTTCACAAAACCCAGGCGGCTCCCTCCCGTGGAATGGCAGGCTAGGTCATTTGCCTATGTAAGTAGACTTATTGGTACTGTTGTTTATTTAGATGTCACATTTTATCAAAGTTCTATCAAAAACCTATCTAGATTTATGAAATGCTAGATTTATTTCATTAATGTGACATAGCTTCTGAAGGTTAGAAACTTAATTGTCCAGCTCTGCTGCTGGTTCTGCAAACAACATCTACCCAGCTGCTGTCAATTCATCTTTTTGTCATCGACGTTCACAACAAGAGACGTCTCCTGTTCACAACAGTCCAATACTTTGTTACTGTGTTTTGTTTTGACTTCACAAAAGATTAACATCATTAATCCCAGCTGTCCACGACGCGGTGGCATTTTTATTGTTTTATCTCAATATTTTTTTTTCATTGCAAAGTCTCCCATTATTCAA